AGTTAGAAAATGATAGCATACTATACCGTGTCTCTAAGTTTCAACTGAAATAAGAGTCTTCAAAACAACTTCTGAACCAAACATTTCTCCTTGAAATGATCTAGGGAAATGGTGGTTTTAACTTAATATTTAATTGCCAAGGATAAAGGATAAAAGCCGCCTCATTTATCACTCCATTCGTCCACTCTCTGTGCCCTCACCCTGCATTATTTTCCTCCATAGTGCTTAGTACCATCACATGTCACAAATTCACTTATCATGCTCTGCCTTTTCCAGCAGAATGCCAGCTCTTAAGAGCCAGGGCTTTGTCTTGTCCACCTATGTGTTCTAGTGCCTAGAACAATATTTATTACAATATTTCATAGGCTTGCAGTACATTTTTGCTGAATAAAATAATCTCTGTAGTTATAGCTATATAATAACATGAGTTTATCCTTATTTTGAAGGTGTGGGTTTATAGAGAAAAATAAAATTCTACATATAATCTAGTGTAGCTTTGAAAATTTTACTTCAAAATAAGAGTAGAGAAATAAAAAGATGTGTACTGGCTGCTAAATATTCCCTAACCTTAATATAATGAAATGCCTCTGCTCTTAGAAACCAAAAACTATATGCTTTGAATAATAAATCTTTCTGCCCAAACTTAGGCATCTTTGCTATTAACAAAAAATCATTCATTTTCCAAGTAAAATTTAATGCTGTATTCTGTATTATTGACACTACTCTTTTCAGAAAATAAAACTAAGTTAAATATACCCTCCAGTATTTTACATTCAAAATTTCATGATGCTATTTACATTTTATGGATTTATTTATTTATTTAGAGACAGAGTTTCACACTTGTCCAGGCTGGAGTGCAATGGCATGATCTCCACTCACTGCAACCTCCACCTCCTGGGTTCAAGCAATTCTCCTGCCTTAGCCTCCCTAGTGGCTGGGAATACAGGTGTACACCACTACGCCTGGCTAAAATTTTTTGTATTTTTTTAAGTAAAGGCAGGGTTTCAGCTTGTTGGCCAAGCTGGTCTCAAACTCCTGACCTCAGGTGAACCACCCATGTTGGCCTCCCAAAGTGCTGGGATTGTCAGGTGTGAGCCACTGCACCCGGCCTATGGATTTATTTATATGCAGTGTCCTTAAATATTTATGCAGCTTCCTACCAGAAATTTCCATTTCTCTAAATCCTGTTCATAGTCTCCACATGCAAATCATTTGTTATAGCTTAACCAACTCTACCAGGTAGCAATGATCTCTCTGCTTGCAGAACCTCCTGCATAGTTTCAATGAGTGTAAATAATTAGTATCAAATCATTTGGCACCTAAAGTGAAAACCACTGAAATAATTAGGAGAAACCGTAAGTACATGTAAGAAGCAGGAACATAACTGCCCTGGGAACCAGCCAAGGGAATCCCCAGCACCTCCCATGTGCCTTAATCTCTCAGTGCTTCCATAGCTTCCTTAAAGTAAGACAAGTGACTGGCATGGTGGCTCATACCTATAATCCCAGCACTTTGGGAGGCCAAGGCTGGCAGATTACAAGGTCAGCAGTTGGAGACCAGCCTGGCCAGTATGGTGAAATGCCGTCTACTAAAAATAGAAAAATTAGCCAGGTGTGGTGGCAGGCACCTGTAGTCCCAGCTACTCAGGAGGCTGAGACAGGAGAATCACTTGAGCCTGGGTAGAGGTTGCAGGTTGCAGTGAGACTAGACCGCACCACTGCACTCCAGCCTGGGTGACAGAACAAGACTCCATCTCAAAAAAAAAAAAAAAAAAAAAAAAAAAAAAAAAAGATAAGTAACCAACTATGGGTTTATAAATTTGATAATCAGAGGTCTTTAGAATTCTCTGTTATGAGAAATATGAACTCAGCTGTAGGCTTTGGACAGGATGGCAGCTCCAGCTCTGAGGCAAGAGCTGAGAATGTGCTGGCTTGACACACTAATGCTCAAGCCATCCATAAAAGTAAGAGAGAGAAACATAAGCTGGGCATGGTGGCTCACATCTGTAGTAATCCCAGCACTTTGAGAGGCCGACGCAGGCAGATCACAAGGTCAGGAGATCGAGACCATCCTGGCCAACGTGGTAAAACCCCATCTCTACTAAAATACAAAAAATTAGCTGGGTGTGGTGGTGCACACCTGTAGCCCCACCTACTCAGGAGGCTGAGGCAGGGGAATCACTTGAACCCAGGAGGTGAACGTTGCAGTGAGCCGAGATCACACCACTGCACTCCAGCCTGGTGATGGAGCAAGACTGTCTCAAAAAGAGAAAATATAAAAAGTCCATTTTAAAAAAGGTTTACTACAACTAAAAATAAGCAAAAATTCTGATAAAATATTTCACAAAGCTACATATTACAAGTTTACAAGTTATTCAAAGAAGTCTTTATTGCATGCTGGGAAGATAATTCTGTCTCATATGACAGAATTAAGCTAACTAAGGCAGTAATTCTGATAATGCCCTGGGTCTAAGCAACCCTGGATACTTTCCTGTACAAAGTGACAATGCTGATTCAATCCCTCAGGAATAACACAGCCTCATCACACCTCACCCTCAAAAAAGCCTTAGCAATCCAAAGCTACTCTGGCAACTGTGAACTTCCCTGTATCGCTTTGGTCACTCAGAAAGATCGTGGTATCGCTAAATAACAAAGAACTTGCAGAAGCAGAATTAGTTATCCTATCATCCCAAGTGGGTCAGCAGCAAAATGACTTTAAACACGTCCTAAGGAGATAAAATTATCTCCTTCAAATTCCTCCACTATTTCAGTGGTTCTCAAACTTTATAGAGTATCAGATTCATCTGTAGACCAAGACCATGTTAGCTTAAAAGGCAGACTCCACAGGGACCCTGATGCCCACCAGGGTCCTCCAGGTGCCAGCCAAAGCCCAAGTGCCCTTTAAGGCAGGGGTCCCCAACCCACCCACCAGCCGTTGACCAGTATTGGTCACTGGTATCAGTCTGTAGCCTGTCAGGAACTGGGCTGCAGAGCAGGTGGTGAGCAGCGGGCAAGCCAGCATCAGTACGGCCTGAGCTCCATCTCCTGTCAGATTAGCAGGGATATTGGATTCTCCTGGGAACGTGAAACCTACTGTAAACTGCTCATGCAAGGGATCTAGGTTGTGTGTTCCTTATGAGAATCTAATGCCTGGTTGATCTGAGGTGGAACAATTTCATCCCAAAACCATTCTCTCCCTACTACCCCAGTTTGTGGAAAAATTGTCTTCCACAAAACCTGATCCTTGGTGCCAAAAACATTGGGGACCACTGCTTTAAGGGCTCAGAAGAATGAAGAATAGAGTGAGTCCTCGTTATCCTTAAAAAAATATATCAAAGTACTTGGAAGACAGTGACTTTTCTGTCAGTTGTTTGTTTTAATTTGTTCTCTAATCTCTTAATTCTAAGGGAACATATAATGTGGTATATAATAGAATACAAAGAAAACATACCAGTCTGAATGTTTGGTGTTAGTAATTAAAAAATACATACCTTTCTTAAACACAAAAAATTAAAACAAACATTTTATGTATTTATTAAAAAATCATTAAAATTCAGAATATCTCAAGACATGCATAAGCATCAAAATAACAAATTCAGGCCAGGCTCATGTAAAGTGCCAGCAAAGCACGGTATTGCATGACCTCCCTGCTCTTCTCAGAAAGGACATGGTGAACCCTCCCCCGAAACAATGTAAATACAGGGAGCTGCATCCAATGTGTATTAATATTTAGATGTATGCTTTGATGAGTTCTAAAAGTACCCCATTATAGGTGCTTATAGGCAGGTAGAATATGAAATGTTATCCTGTTGAATCTGGATAAATAAGTACCTAAATTAAACTTCTAAAAAAAAACCTGACTAACCACACATCTCAGGAAATCCCTGACTTTTCCAATCCTCTACACAGTGAGTCACTACAGTACATTTTGCTATAGGATAGTCTAGAGGCCATTACAACATATAAAAATAGGTAAATAATCCTAAAGGTCTGAATTAAATCTCTCAAAGCAAGGTTACATTACATTCTTTCTTTAAATCTGGCTACAGCAAAGTACAGAAAATGAATGGTGAATTCATAAATAATTCTATAGCTAGACTGCTATAAGGCACAAGTAGACTATCATCCACAGACTCAAGCAAAAATAAAAGAGAAAAGAAACAAACGTAGATTCTTAACAAACAAAAAAAATTTCCAACAAATTTGCATATTATGTTTCATATATAAAAGTGAATTTATGATGTTAATCTACCATATGGGAGGAAATTAAGTCACAGTTCACTTAAATCATTTACCAATTAACTTCAAGTACCAAATAGAATTTCTGTAAACCTAAATCTCTTTACTAAGGCATAGTTCAAGCATTACCTAAACATTCCCTACAGGGACTTTCTGTGCAGTAATGTCAGAGCTGTTCCATATTAAACAGTCTCAACCATTCCTTATATTTCCATATTCAGTGATGACTTCTTATATGGTGAGATGTCAACAGTGAGAAAAAATGTAATGGTTGAAAAAATATTGAGAGAAGTTCATGTTACCCTTATTAGGAGATTTTAAAAAGGAAAGAGCAGGAGGAGTTGGGCATGGAGGAGGAAGGGAAGCTATGGCCTCTGAAGAGGATTAAATGATGACCTATGTAAAGTGAAGAACACTTAGCCTTAATTCTTATAACTTCTCTTTTTTTATTTCAAACTTTAGAGCCAATTTAACTTCTAAATCTTTCTGCACACTTTCACTTTTAATTACCCTCGTGTAGTAACACACCAACATATTACTTTTAAAAAGAACTTGAACAAATTTTCCAAATATCACATGCCTCAAGGGATATATTGATAATTTTCAGTTAGATTACATTAACATGCACTATCACTAAAATACACATATACACATCTTAAAAGAACATTATGGCTCTGGAAGCACCCTGAGTTTATAAAGACCCTCAGTCATTCTAAAATGTACAAAGGAAATATGTGTTCTGGAAAAATTAAGTTTACTTACTCGTATTGATCAGAAATTGATTGGACACACCAGGATGATCTACGTCATGTATTGCACTGGCAAAAATTGCTGCGAGAATCTCCAAATCTGTAAACACAGCCTGGAAAATCAGACAATATAGATAATCTTACTACGCTACAATGATAAAAATCAGAAGTATAAACAAATGAGAAATAACTCTAGAATTTAAATGGAAAACAAAATGAAGCTTCATGTGTTATCAAAATGTGTCAAGAGAGTTTGAGATACTTATGAACTTCTAAAATATAAGCTTGGAAGAAAATATTTTATCTAATTTTATTACATATCATGATCAAATCTTTTCCATTCACTGTATTTTTAAAAATATTTTAAAACTATCAAATCCTTTTTATAGAAAATAAATTTATTTTCTAAGTAAGATGTCTAAGAATATTCTGAAAAATGTACATAAAATTAATACGACATGAGCAATTCTTTTCTCTCATCAAAACCAGGGTTTCTCAACTTCAGAACTATTGACATTTTGGGCCAGATAACTCTTTACCTGGGAGGCTGTCCTACACATTGTAGGATTTTTAGCAGAACTCCTGGCCTCCACCAACAAAATGTCAGTATTATGTACAACTAAAAATGTGATAGTTGTAACAACTCACCTACATGATGAGGTATTAACATAATTTTATAATGAAAACTGAATTATAAAATATATTTCTTAAAAATTATTTTAAGAAAATCAAATTGCTTTACTAAACTATGAATGAAACAACTTCTTAGGATTTAGAAAAATTAAGGAAGTGTTTCCTTCTAATAAATTCCATGAAAAAAATCAACGTATTGCTTATGTCTTATAAAACAGTCATTCTTTGACCTATAAACAAAAGCCATCAGACTACATTTCCAGAAAACAAATTAACAAAAAATGAATAAGCTAAATTTGCTTTATGAAACATCCAGTGGATCATTTCAAAGAAGCAATATCATAAACAGATTAATCACTAAATCTGTGACCAACTTTCATAAGCAAAATGCTTCAAAGACTTGACTGTCTATTAACCCATAGCATTTTCTCCCTATAAGTCAATAAATTATACTTCCGGTGAATCCAATTATTTTCTCTACTGAAAAGCCTTCAGTATAAAAGCTTAATAGACCTTTATGAGTAGCAACTTAGTGTTCTTGAAATTTCAGAAAACAGATTTACCTCCAAAGCAGGTGTAGATAATAGCACATGAGTAGACTGGACAACATCTGCAGCATGGATATTGTTGTGATAGGCCACATCAGCATGGTAATGGTCTTCGAGAGTCATAAGATATGTAATTAAAGTATCTACTGGAATTTTAAATGTTTTTAATAAATCCCGTTCCTGTAGGAAAAAACAAATCATGTTAACATTTTTGTCTTTATGTAAACAATTTCTCCACAGAATATGTTAACAAAAATCATACACCAGTGTTGCCAATGGATAGCCTGGAAATGAAAACTGCTCTCTAACATGTCTAGTGAGGGAAATGGGAATCTTTGGGAAGGTCCAGGGACTTTGGGACAAAACCAGAGTTGGGTTTTCCTTCTGGAACCCAACAATCCTACACCCTAGCTGTATGGTGTCAGGAAGAGGTGCCAACTCTAAAAGTTTCTGTGCCCCATTATAGAGGCAGATCCTGGCAAGCACGATTAACTCAACCGCTGCATCTCACCAACTGAAACCCACTGCCCTCTCTAGGGCTGAAGTTTCCCATTCCAGTCCCAAGGTATCTACAACAGCCTCAGCTTCTCATTTAAATCCCACCCTGAGCTGGAGCAAAGGGTCAATAAGAGTGAGAAATGGATATGCAAAAGGAAGCAGGACACAAGAAAGTTACTGAAAAAAACTGTAAGGTTAGCCTGCAGGGGCTTTATTCATTTTTTTTAAAGTTAGTACTCCATTCTTTCTGCCAGTCAGATTCACAGAGGTGATGTCTAAATTATTATTTTAATGAACTACTTCAATAAGGCTGTATCACATCTTTTCCTTAAATGCAAAAAAAAACATGATTGATGTATTTGTGGTTTATCCACACTCCACCTTTCTGTATCTTGTCCTTTGGCAAAGGAGCAAATAAGGATAAAAGTATAAAAATAAGCAAAAGATGGGGAATATTTAAAAAGACAAAATGTGTGCACAAGCTACAGACTGGACATTTAGTTCCTAAATAAATGTAATAGAACTCAACCACCTTACCTGAAAAATGGTGTGCATGATAACAGTCAAGGGCCGGTTACCAGACAACTCTGCTATTCTGAAAACGTGAAGACCCCATTTGTTCACATCTTCGAGTTCCTGGAGTAAAAAACAAGATACAAAAAAAATTAGAAAGTGGAGTAAAACATGATTCAGTGAACACAATCATTTAAAAATTACAGAGTTTAGGTGGCCGGGCGTGGTGGCTCGCACCTATAATCCCAGCACTTTGGGAGGCCAAGGCAAGCAGATCACCTGAGGTCAGGAGTTCGAAACCAGCCTGGCCAACATGGTGAAATACCATCTCTACTAAAAATACAAAACTTAGACATGGTGGTGTGCATCCGTAGTCCCAGCAACTTGGGAGGCTGAGACAGGAGAATTGCTTGAGCCTGGGAGATGAAGGTTGCAGTGAGCCAAGATTGCACTACTGTACTCGGCCTCACCGACAGGGTGAGACTCTGTCTCAAAAAAATATTAAAGACTTTAGTGTAAAGATTGTTAGATTTATTTAAAACAATTATTCATTTTACATGTTAACAGACATACCATATAAGCACAGGCAAACTTTAGGCACATTTACTTAAATGTACTGAAAACTGAATAGTATTGCTTAACCTTATAACTTTGACATTACAACATATTTATGTACTTTAAGTATCAATCACAAAGCATTTCTTCAATGGATAAAATCTATTCACAAAACCTTAACTATTCTCCTAAAACCCAGAAGACATGACAGATTTCTAACTCATTAAGGTCAAACAAAAAAATGAAGATACAGATAACTGACTCCCAATCCCCTAAAACATACACACCAAACCACCTGTCTAAGGCACTTTACAAGGGGCTTTATAAAATGGCTTTGTATCTTAAAAAAAAAAAAAAAAAAATCCCAAATTAATAAACTTTCCTATCCATTTAAAAGTGAAAATTTATGAAAGGGCATCATTTAATATTGATGATCATGATCTCTGAAATCATCATACCTTGGCAAGAACATCTTCTTGTTCAGTTTTAACTCCAAATCTTGGGATACTTGAATTAGTCAGACTAGAGCTGTGCATCAATTTCTTGACTCCACTGATCTGAGACATTGGTCTTTTCTTTTTCTCCTTTTCCTTCTGAGTTGGAGATGGAATTTCCACTTCATGTTGCTTATCTTGAGAAATTTAGGAAATGTTCCCTATTATTAATTCTGTCTGTTTTTATATCATCACATGTATAACTGGAAGGGTTATAATTGATCATTATATATTCCAGGAAATGTTTCCAGCTACAAATTTTCCTTTTAGAGAGTTCAGTATTTACATTTGAATTGGACTTAATTTGATATCTTCAAACACAAAATTAAGCAAATAAGTCCACTACAAAATAATAATATCAAATGTATTCCATGGTTACCTCTTTGATACAATGTCCTAATAAAAAATATTTCAAGACTTAGCATGACAGCAGACTCAGAGAATACACAACAGGTGGTTATTTCCACTGTTCATCAATTCCATTCCTATTTGAAATTGACTTAGTAAGCTGAAAATTGCTCTCACAAGCTAAGGACTCCAGTTTCAATATGTACTTTGAAATGGTAGAAACTTTTTACACAAATGTCATAAAAACAGCAGTATATAAAACTAACAGCTAACTGAAATGGGTAACACTGTGAGAGTTGAAACAGCAGGTTTTGGATGACTTAGATTAATTCTGCTATTTTAATTACTGTATTATAATGAAATAAGGGTTAAATCCCCAGGTTTTATGGGGAGCATAGAGAATTGTAAATATCTGATAAGTAAATATGCACATAAGCTAATTGTGTTCTATAGTAAAAGACATAGATGTCTTTGTACTTTCTTCCACTATTTCAAGGCAGTGATGAACAACTCTAACTCATACTTGTACACAGCACATATTCCATAACTGTTTAAAAATATGATAAATATAACAGCAATTTTGTTTTGAAAGTATATCCAGGATACATTCAATTACTCATCTTTATTTACTGCATTTTCTTTCTGTGAATGAGGTACAAGAGTTGTCCCAGGACACCAAACTCAGCTATTATTAGTAAACTTTTATCTAGCATTTGTGTTTTATCCACCTACCAGTTTACTAGGCTTGATGTACGCTAGATTGTCAATTCATCAAGGGCAGGAATCATTTCTAATTTATCATTAAACACCTATTGCCCAACGATGGCTGACATTTAGTAAGAATTTGTTGAATACATGAATAGATCTCTCTATAAAATATATTTTATAGTTTGGTACTTTGAAAACACTGGCAATATATATAACCTTAACTCGAGAATTCCTAAAGTCCTAAATAAAACTAAAAAAATGTACTTTGTCACGTGAAACTCTAAAACATAGAGGTGCATAGTATCAAAGTTTTAATATGATGAATGGAAATAAACAGAACTTCTAACACTTGTTTGGTTTCCAAAATGAGTTGGCACCCCAATCCTCCTCCAAAAACAAGCAAACAACTGAAGGAAGTTTTTAATTGCATGCTGTTATTCTCACCTAAGAATGTGTTTGATATGTACTCTGATACTTGATTTCCAGACCGACTCATTTCAGAGAGATGGGTGAGCTCCCGATTAAGCATCCTTTTAAACTGAAAAACAAAAAAGTAAAATGAAGTAATAAAAGAGGAAAGTTTAAGTGAAATGCATACGCATACTGTGAGATACAGGAAGATAAGCCCAAAGAATTTTTAAATTGTCCTGACAATTTAGATCAGTGCTTTCTAGCAGAACTTTCTTCAATGAGGGAAAAACATCATAATCTGCTGTCAATTAAAGCAGCTACTACACTTGCAATGTGCCTAGTGCAAATAAGAAACCAAACCTTAAATTTTATTTAATTTTAGCTATTTTTAATTTAAATAATCACATGTGGCTCATGGCAACCATATTGACCAGCACAAATTTAGGCACTCAAGGACTGAAGGGGAAATTCAGGAGAAATAAGGAAAGAAAGGGAATCAAAAATTAAGATGTATTATTAGTTATTTAGAGAAGAGAGAAACTAATTTATAGCACATAAAAGTGTTGCCATACAATAAAACATGGAATACTTTCATCAATTAATTTATCATTAGCAGAAATGAATATATATACTGACCAAGAGATTAAAAATTAGTCTTTTACTCCAAAGCAAAAATAGATTTGAGTACTCTTCCAGAACTATGGAGAGGTAAAAGTTTTAAATAAATAGTGTATAATGTGTCCTTTTAAAAGTTGTTTTTCAAGTAAGAGTCTAACATTTGTTGGTTCTCAACATCCACAAAATTTACCAACAGTTTTCCCAAGTCACTAAATAGGCAACAGGTCAATTTTTCAATACCCTACTTCACAATTTTTCTAGTGCCTATTTCATGCAAAGAAACACTGGAATTAACCTACCAGCACCACATAGCATTACCAGTATCCAAAAATCTCAAAGATTTTATGCTTCCCCATCAGCTGTTTCTTAATATGTCTTGCCTTTTACTCTAAAAACAGCCCAATGAGGCCTTTTAATAAGTCTGTAATATCTGCCTTAATATTCAGAAACAATATACTTTTTCTATACATAGAGTAACAGCTATTAGACACTTGACAAAAAAAGTCAGCATTTACTCTAAGGTTAATCATCAGATTGACTTTTAAAATATGAAATTTCACCATAAACTCTCATTTAAGTGTGAAGGTGGGTGGTGAGTTTATATTTTAGTAATGTTTGAAATGTAATTCTTTCTCAGTATTTAATTAATTTATTTAGAATTATTTTTAAAATCTTGCTTTCTGCATAATTCATACCAAGATAGCCTAACTCTATACAGTTTGCTAAATAACTTCCAAAGTCAATCTTATAGACCATCTAGATTAGGTTTTAACCCAGCATTTAATTGTTATCAAAACAAACAAAAAAACTCAACATTCAATAGACTGCTGGATGAGAGAAATGTGTATTAGCACTCCAGTGCAGTCAAAGACAAAGAACTGGCATTACCTGTGCAAATTCTGGCTGTTAAATTACTGGTCTAGAGAGGTTAGTCTCAAACTCAGGAACACTAAGTGCACTTTCTTTGCTCACATGTTGTTATAACTTTTTTCTAATTATAAAATGTATATATGCTATGGAAAATTTAGAAAGCTTGTCAAAAAGAGAAACTCATGTGAATCCCCACTGCTGGAAGACAGCCACAGATAATTTGTTAAACTTCCTTCTATGCCGTTTTCGACACTTGTATGTGAATACGTGTTTTTAAAACTGGCATCAAGTGGTTTATAGAACATGAGTTACTGTTTGTGTTCACTCAGCATTGTATCTTACAACCTACTGAAAAAAAATTAACTTTGGGCCTTCTAAGAATATTTGTGGAGACATTTCTAATAGTGTTCAAAAATTTTTCTGTCCCTCTTTACAAAGTTAAATTTTCTTGAATAAATTATAGGCTATCAAATAATGTAATGAGCTAATATAGCAAATGTCTTCTATTTAGCCTGGCACACAGTAGATGCTCAATATTATTTCCTTTGCCCGCCTCCCTTTCTGGCACTCAGTCCCTAACTTTTGGGCCTTTTATGGCTGATTTTTATCTTTGCAGGTCAGACAGATGAAAGATTTGACTATAGTTATGACCATAAAAATAGTTCTCTAAATAGTTAGGTTCTCTTTCTCAAATCCCATAAAGAATTTGGACTAGCATTAGTATGGAAACCATAGCTATGTCTCAAAAGCACAACTAAAATATCATGCATACACAGTTTTAAAAAAAAAAATCTTAGGCAAAGCATATTCCAAAGAAAAGAGTCTGCTAAACATTTTAAACACATATTCAATGAAATATTGCTTTGACCTGAAATCGTTCATGTTATGAGCTAAAAGTTGCTCTTAAGAACTATCTGGTCATGACAAAGTCCTTTTTTATAAAAGATGGGGGAAGAAGCAAAGCTTTCACCACTGCTAGAATCTCAGCAGTCAATAGAGGCATTGCTGCCCTCCTTGCACTTCTCTCAAGAAAGTGAAACAAGGCAAGCCTTCTGAGAGTGACAAAGTTAGATAAAACCCAGTTATTACAGGTTCATCTTCTAATTTTTACACAACCTAATATAAGGATTATGTTGTCATATGCCCAAGCAGAAAATGTGGATGCTACCTGCAGATACGCTACATATATTATTGGATTTTTCTAAAAGAATATAAAGAATGAAGTATAATTTTCCTGGCAGTTTGCTTGAACAGTTCACCAAAATAGCCAGTTAGTACAGAGAACTGAAGAAAAAAAGCCAGTGAAAGGAATCTAAATATTGTACAGACTAGATAAGTAATATACTGCATGTTCCATTTCTATCTTTCTGTATGATATATATTATTCCCAGATTATTTTCCAGCTTTTGTTTAAAACACAAAAACATGGATTGAAGAAATCCTCCATCACATGCCTACCTCCCTACCAAGGCTTATAAGGGACTCAAGAAGTCAGCGTTTCATTTCAACATAATTATAAAAGATAACATTTGAAGCAATCACCTCTCTTCCCTAGGGAGACAGTTTAAGGAATTTCCTAAAAATAATTTTCAAAGAGTACATTAAGTTATAACATAAGGGTATTTTCTAAAAGGAATTAACATTGCTTTTTCTTTTTTGCTATACATATAAAACTTTCAGTCCAGCGAAGCTAAATTAAAAACTACAAAAATTACCGTAAGTGCTTTCTTAACTGGTAGTTGATCTTACAAATTGGTTTTGGAGTGCATAGCTAGATGTACCAAAAAAATGTGCTAAATCATTCAGCAAACATTTAAAAATGTAAGTGATATTTCTTTCATCTAAAAATAATTATATTTACTAAGGTAACTATCTAAAATTGCCAAAGAGGGAAGGACTGGTTTAAAGCTAATATAGTGTATCCTTCTGGGAATCCCATCACATTTCTCAATTAATAGAGAAGGGACAAAATATAAAACTGCTTTTTGAAAAGAACTGACTACAAAATGCAGAACCATTTAATAAGGAATTTAGGTTATTTTTTTAAAGTGACCTCTGAATATTTTCCATTGATGAATTTCTAATTGTTTTTGGCCTAAAGAGTCTGAAAACAATACACAGATTTAGGGTTGCAACTAAGAAAAGAGGGGAGGATTTCCAAGTGAATGCTTTTGAATCCTTTGTTCTCATTATACATCAGAATGTCTGTGTATAGCAGTTAAGGCATAACGGAAAGTGAAAATGCAGTCGAATCTGAATATTGTATTTTGCTTTCAGAACTGCAATTTACATTCTGCATTTAAGACTGTTCAGGAAAAAAAAAAAAAAAGACTGTTCAGGAAGCAAACTAAAATAATAAAATTAAAATGTTCTTAAATGTAATATCCTATACTTCTACATCATGCCAATGTGCTACTGGGTATATTATATATCCTCCCAATATATATTTAAGGAGGTGGTATGGGTCCAAAAATAAAATTTAAAAATTGCTTATTTTTTTCCTGACAATATTCTGCTAAAAAATCATTTGAATATCCTGCACTGTGATGCACTACAAGTTTGGTAGATCAGTATTCAAAGTTATTTAAACAAGTACTCCATTGACTGCATGAAAATAAATCCTTCAAAATACTTAAGACCAAATATATCTGTATTTGCCATTTTTACGTTTTTAAAGGTACAGTATTAAACATAAACAAAGCTGTCCAGGAAAAATCTTCCTCAAAGAAAAAAGTATTAAAATTCTATATTTAGATTCTTGGCAGTATTGTTCCTAATCATAATATAAATGGGAAGCCTTTCAAAAATACATCAATTGTGAGTTGGCTAGAAGCTAAGAGCTGAATTCTGGGCGATAGTGAGGACTTCTTATATTACTCTCTACACTTTTCTGTATTTCTGAAGGTTTTTAGCCAAGAAATGGCTAACAACATTCAATAATTAAAGTCTATATATTTAAAAAACATTTAAAAAAATCTGAATCATCCACAGATTTAAAGGGAGGTAAAGAATCATGACTACTTGGACAACTGATCCTGAAATATGTTTTCTAATTTTTTTAGAATTCAAGTAAATCTCAAAACAAAGGGGAAATTGTCCTTCAAAAAGAGAGAAACAAAGCCAATGACAAATACTCCAATCTGAAAATCCTCAGAGTAACAAAAAAAAAAAAATCAGTCTTTTAAAATGTGTTGTGATTGGCTCAAATATCCAAGGATAAACTTCAATCTATGAAGTGATGCTTCATTTAGGATTGAATAAGTTTTTTCTACCTCCTGCTTTTATTGTGGAGACAGTACCACAATGCTAATGTTATAACAGGGCATGCAAAAAACCTGCTAAGCATGGACAATATCTGATTAAATTGTTTATTAATTCATTTCTTGAGATACATAAAAATAACAGTGTAATAAAAATTTTGTTTGGTTTTGCAATTATAATAATTGAGTTTTTATTCTAATAAAGTATCACTTAAATCATAAGTAATGGCAAGATTTAATATCATCTAGAGCTTTATAGGTAAAGGTGCAAAAAACCTATTCCTCATCAGATTCAAGTAGTACAGATTTTTAGAAACAGCCACAAATTAATTTTATAAACCTTATATGTAACATACCAACTGAAATCCATAAATCACTT